CCTGGCCGATGTCATCATCTACACCCACGACGTGGTGCGGGCCTGTCTACACTGTGGACATAGTCGCCCCAAATCACGAATGCCACGAATTGACGTCATAGGGCTGAGCGACCGGATCCCGCCCTGCACATATCCTGCATGCTTACACATTGCCGCATGGCAATCTGCTGTCACCTCGCCCTTCGTGCTGCCGCCGATCCTCCTACAGGCCGGCCGGCAAAGGACAATTCCGAAGGACGATCGTGATGGGCAGCACCAGGTGGGGGGACACGACCCTTGGAGACAACTCGAGGCACAAGACTGCGCTGGAGGAGAGGAGTTTCGACATGCTCCAGCAGTAACGTCACTAAATGCCATGCTCAATAGGAGAGCCCCACCCTGAGGAAGCCTCAATGCTCTCTGGTACTTTTGTTCGTATCATGATGGGGTAAGACTACTGTAATTCGTTCGCCTGGCCTGACAGATCAAATCGCAATTTAGAAACCGGGTTGCCGTTTTGGGATGCGGGGATGCCAATTGTCACCGAAAGCCTCGGCATACCAAGCCGCTGCAGGGGCGAGGCTTCTTGCCCTTGTTGGCCGATGCTGTACGCGGTCCCGGGCCAGATTCGCCGTCGCTAACCAGAAATGTAGCGCCGCGCTTGCAAGTGTTTCTTCCTTCATGGCAAGTATGGGTTCATAATGGTTAAGAGCTCGTACTCGGGCATCTTGGGAAGGTTCACGCAAACCTGGCAAGCCTGGACAACTGAAAGATGAGTAAGGAGCTCGCTGTAAGCGCAGGCCCGGGAGGAACGAGGCCGGAGGTAACGGAACCGCGCCCAGTGAGCCCAGGGTCCAAAAGCATTTTCGCAGCATGTTCGAGTCCGGGGCCTCTTGTTCCTATGAAACTCGATTGTTTGATGCACCATGCTCATCTTTTTGGGTCAAACCAGGAAGACAAAAAAAAGACTAGTCAAAACAACCATTCGCTCCCTGCCATCCACTGCCCAGCGCGTATCTAGTCTTGATCTGGTTTAGGATACTGATCATCTACTGGGATAATTCCTCAAGACCAGGCACAACATTCGACCGGACTCGGGTTGGGGAGTCATTGCAAGCCGGCTCTCCTAATCAGATGTGAAGGTGTGTAGAGTCAGGCTATCATCCCGTCGTGTGATACGCCCGCACACCGGACTCGACAGTTTACGGCTGCGAATCAGTTGGGTGGGTCAAGTCGCCAGTACGGGCTTGTGGTGGACAATGGTGCCGGAGAAGCGTCACGGATTTTTTTTTGGCGACGGCGACAGGTCCAAAGTGTTCCAGTCAAGACGTATGGGAGTGGCTGAGAGACCGCTGCTGGTGCTGTTGTCAGCTGAGGACCGACGACCAGATCGGGATACATGCGTAAGCATTCGCTTTCGGCGGTCGCTGGAGCCTGATTGACGACGGCAGGCCCTATTTGTTCCCAGGCTGACTTGTAACGGTACAATCTCCCGTCGGCAGAAATGGGAATTCGGTGAGAGCGACCGCAGCTCGTCCGGAAAGCCATGGCCACGTGTGACATGCTGCGCAATCGTGAGGACGGCACGACGAGTCATCGGACGGCGCTGAGGCTAAGCATGTACACTTTGCCCACACATGTGATCCTGTGCGAAAAGAGGCGGGCGCCCTGCACAGGCATTTCACCTTGTTGCCCTCGTGCACTGCATCCTATCTACAGGTGTTCCTGTGTTGGGCTTTTCTCAACAAGCACGTCTTGCCCGTGTGAGAGGATCATGTCTCTGGCAGACGGGGGATCAAATGATCAACAGGGCAACACTGCTGAATCATTTCGTACGTGCGACGGAGCGCCACAGGCGCGCGTCATTATTCGGGCGATTGGACCCTGATCTTCCACACCCAGGGGGCGAGTGCGGCTTGGGGCCAAGACCCCAAGCAGCCCCGCCAAGCCCGCACCGAGACGTGCCTTTGACGAGTCCATCACGACATGGAAGCGCAAATTCGCCTCCCAAGGCGACTCGAGTCATCGATAGACGCTAGGAGGCGGCGGCGCCTCGAGTGCCAGTGTCGAGGATCCCTCCTCGTGTCTGACCGCTCTTCCAGATGAGTAGCTGTCACTCTGACTAGATACGGCTGCACGTGTTACGAGCGTCTGAGCTGAGACGGGACAGGTGACCTCGACAAATTGTACCCGGCGCCGTCTCTCGCATGAACAGCAAAAGAACAGGTACCTGTACCCAGGTTCCTAGGTGGGCACCTGGGTGGGAGGGCTCAACTCAGCACCCCGCCAGCCAAGACCGATAACCCGTCTGCCCAGTGCCCAGCATCTCAGCGCCCCAGTATCCCAGCGGCCCAGCGCGCGAGGTAGGTGGCTACCGACCCCACCACAACCTGCTTGGCCCAGTGTGCCTGCCCTGCAACCCCGGACCCGAGAAGCCCCGCAAAAAGCGCACCAAGTGCATGTTCCTCCTCATAATAAGCCTGCCTGCCTGCCCGCAGCCTACCGCGTGCGTGCCTGCCTTGGTCGTCCGCCTTCTGCATTCAGACTCATCCCGCACCGCACTGCTTGCTTCCCGTCCGTCCAGCACATCGAAATCGCCAAATCCCACCTGCCTTTTTGCATCCTACCCATCCCTGTGCGGGCCAGCGTCCATGCGAACAACTACAACTATCCTGCACCCCCCACATTTGTCGACGAATCTCTCGCAGACTCCTTTCTCGGTACCTCTCAACGTCCCTGGCCCCCAGGCACGACCCTCATCGACTCGCCCGGTCTAGCCCTCGACTCCAACAAAGGACCGCCTCACCAGTTCTCAGCTCCCCAACACCAGACCACTCCAGACCACACACAAAACCTTCAGGTCTCCCAGCCTTCCTCTCGACCTTTCAGAGGAATCTTCGCCGTATCTTCGCTTCGTTGCGCGAAACGAATCGAAGCGACCATACCGCCTGGCTGGCCGACGAGCACAGCCTCTGTGTCGGATTGCATGCGTTCCAGTCCGTCGCTCTAGACTACAAGAACACAGCTCCATCCTCACTGCCCGCTTACAACCTCTCCCGCCCATCACTGACGACAACAACCACCCAACATGGCGCCCGGGTCTTCAGATCACCAGTCCTACTACCGCAGTAGCGGCTACACCGCCGCCGCAACACGGCCTGTCGGCGCCGACCCCGACACCTGGATTCAAGTCACCGAGATTGATGACGACGACCTGCAGTTTGGCGGCAAGTCTCTGAGCGAGTGGTACGAGGAGGAACGTCGCCGTCAGAGCCACGGCTGCTCGTCTGATGAAGAAGAACGTGGCCGACAGAGGGTAAGTTGCCAGTCACCTCCATGCGTCTCGATGTGTAGTGCGACAGACGACTAACAGTTTAGGTTCGCAAGCACTACCAGCACACCAAGAAGAGCGACAAGAAGCGCTGAGCCCCATCGCGATCACCACTTCCCACGCTCCTCTCGCCGGTGTTGCGGACTCTTCCCTCCAGCATTACAATCCTTTCCTTCGTCATCGACATCCTCCATCTGGCGTTTGCTTTTTCTTACAGCGTTGCATGGTCAGCTTTCTCATTAGACGGAGCACGATACCACGATCACGGTCGCATGACACATTACCGCAGGCACAGCCACTCGAGAGGCGGCAATTAGAGCGTCGCGCCCTCCTGCTTTTCATCCCCTTTCCCCCTTCTAGAGCCGGGCCGTTGCCTCACTCTTCCGACCCGATTGGCGCATCGATACCAACTTGATTTTTGGCGTGGAACCAGGCTAGCATATCTTGCCGGCTGTTGGCAGACGAAATCTGGCATTGTCACGTAGAGCACTCGGCGTCGTTCACGTTGTGAACAAACTCGTCTGAATACAAATTGCCGTTACAAACTCTAGTGACACTTTCGAGACAACAGTGATGGAATGTATGAGGTGCAGTATAACAAGATGACTACCAGCCTGTCTTGGCTGGCTGGATGGCGTTGCTATCGATCTCGCTGCATTCCACTGTACGAACTTGCAGAATGCCATCGGAAGTTCGCGACATTTCCCATCACGCAAGGAAATCGTGATCAGGGTTGCCATGTCTCAGGTGGCACCAACCTTGCGCAAGCGCGACAGGTAGCACACGCTCGGCAAGGGGGATCTGCGTTATAGAGCCCTCTTGTTCAAGTATGATGATGTCGATATTGCGAAATGAAAGGAACATATGACCCTGATGCGGTCTCGTACAGCTCCACACTACTGCTGGTTGGATGCTTATGAGATATCGGTCGCGACAGGATGGTGCTAGTCTGACTCGAAAACCTGTTCTGTAGCACGGTGGTGCAGGTGACAAAGGCGCGGCTGGTGGTAGCTGCTGGCTTGCTCTGATAGGTCGTGTCCGTCGTGCATGATGGCTAGGAGGCCGTTGATTCAACTTCCAGAAGAACGATCATGGGCAAGCAGCAGGATAAGTCCAGGAAAGGAAAGGGAAACATGTCGCCTACGCAGAAATAAGTGAGTAGATGCCGATAATCAGATGGGACCTGTTCCTTTCCATTCGTACACAAAGCCACATAAGGAACCCGAAACAACCCTTTGCGCCAGGACATGCCCCAATGTTCGACCGCATCATCAGTTGGATGGCTCACAGACGGCTTTCACCTTTTCGACTTTTCCTTGCCGCCTTCTTTGCTCGCCTTCTCGTCGCCAGTGTTCTCAGTCTCGTCCTTCTTGTCTTCGTCTCCGGCTAGTTTGTCAGTCGATTTACCGCCACTGACGCCCTCATCTTCAGGCCCACCCTTAGCCTGCCCGCTGGATTCCTTGCCTTTGGACTCTTTGCCGTCTGACTTGGTGTCGGGCTGGTTTTCGGATTCACTGTCAGCCTGGCCGCCGGCCTTGTCGCCGTTCTTGTTCGGATCCTCCGCAAACTTGTCTTCCTTCTTGGTCTTATCCTTAGCATCGCCAGCGGACTTTTTGCCTTTTCCGCTTTGCTTACGACCACCGTCCTTGCTGCCAGCTTCCTCCTCCTTCTGCTTGCGTTCGGCCTCGGCCTTTAGCTTCCTGTTCTTCTCCTTTTCCTTCTTCTCTAGTGCTGCCCAATCGACGTCCTTGTTTGGGAGGTTCTCATGGACTCTGTCCGAAAGGCCTTGACCCAAACGAGGGGCGGCCGAACCAACCTTGGCCCGACCGACAAGGCTGACGAAGATCGCAACACCGACGATGCCCGTCAGGATGAATCTGTACTTGGTGTACCAGGGCGGCGTCCAGCCACGCGTCGTCGCGCGAGCATCGGCCAGGTACAGGCCTGTGAAAGCAGAAAATTGTGTGATCAACGCCGCCTCGATCGGCATGAAGAGGGTAGGCCACGCAACGACAGGCGCGAGGACGCCCATGCCATAACGGAAGTTGGTGCGCGAAGATGAGATGGTCTTGGCCGTGTATTCCATGCCCTTCGTACTGATCAGCAGGAATCGCACGCGGTCTACCATATTTGATTGCTCACCCAATGCACAGCACCTAGAAACGAGATGATGACGGCGCCGTAACCTAGCTGCACTGGCTCGAGGAAGTCAAGCCAGTATTGCGCCGATTCATGGTTCATGTGAATGTGATTGATCAGTGTCGAAGAGGACGGCCAGTCCGTGTTGAGGTCCCAACTCAAGTAGACTGTGGCTAGTGATGTACCAAGGTAGGGGATCGTGCCGGCGAGACCAAGCCAATAGGGCTGTTTGGGCACATCGGAAAGCTCAAAAGTGTCTCTCACGATACCCTAGGAGTGATCAGCGTTAATTGGTTTCAACCGACCGTAGAAGGGTGGGTTCTGTTACCAGGTCGTGTACGAGGCCATCTTGAACACTGTCATTGTTCTGTGCGGCCGGACTGGACTCGAAAACCTGGCGTGTAGACGAATCTACAGAAACATCTTCAGGACGAGACTCAATCTTCTTCTTGCCAACTTCCTCTTCGGCCTTGACATCAATTTTGTCATAGGGGCTGTTTGAGTATTGTCGTCTCGAAGGGTAGAGGGCGGCGACGGTCCTACTCTTAAGGCCTCCGTATTTCGGAATTCGACTTCCCGGCGTCAAAAGCTGAGCAGTCAAAGGGGTCGAAGCTCGTGGAAGGAGACGAGCCGCCGTTCTCGTGGAGTGAAGCATGGTTGCGTGGACGGCGCGGGTCAATGGAAGTCTGGCACGAAGAGGCTTGTGGTGCTGTGACAAATGGCTGTGCTATGAACAACAAGAGGCAGACGATCAGTGTGTCGCGCCAGGAACACCGATGGTTAAAGAGGGCACGAGCAATACCGACAGCTCAAATACAACTGCTGCCTG